TCTGTTGCACACACTGTTCCTCACTCTCCTCCCTCTCCTTATTCCATACAAGAAATTGACAGCAAATCAAGACTCCTTCTCCCTGTGATATAACCCATCATACCCTTCACCCTCCCCTGCTAGCAGTCCATGATTTCTGCTATTGTAACCCCCTGCCCTTAGTGCACTACAGTACTTTAGTTTAGAGACATGGATAGAGCACTTGAGAAGTTAATGTTTACATTTATGTACACATGCAAAGAAAGGCCATTTAACTGAAGTACCTAGAAACATTCAAAACCAAGGGGCTGGTACATGCTGAGCAGATGGTTGTTCTTCCACAAGCTGGAGAATAACCTTCTACTATGGGTGTAGAATCATAAATATTCACAATTTGAGAACTGAGCTAATCAGAGCTCAGGTAGAAAGAACAAAACAGGAGTTTGATACCCTGTTCAAATAGGTGGGCCCAGTAGCTAATCTTGATCAAGGAGTATAGATGATGGTGTCTACTGGAGTCAGAGGCCAGGATGCAATATCTGTGATGATTTTGCTGATCCTTTGCATCCAGTAATATAAATTCTGAATCCCTTGACCTCATGTAGATGTTTCCCCCTCATTTTATATAGAATAAAAGCACTCCAACTCAGAGCTCAATGACTGAACATATTTTAGTTGAAAATTTTTTAATAGATTAAACTTGATCTGAGCCTTCAAGAGTCTGAGAAGTGAATATATATATGCAAATATCTATAGATATATCTATATCTATCTATATCTATAGATAGATATAGATATATATATATCTATATATAGATAGATAGATAGATAGATAGATAGATAGATATAGATATATAAAGAGAGAGAAGCAAATATATATCTTAGCCTATGCTATATTAAATTCAAAGTTCATTTTAAACTGATTTATTTCTAAAAAGGAAAGCTTAATTACAATTTAAACCTAAATTTTAAAAAATCAGATTAAATTTTTATCTGATTTTTTCTTTAAAAAAAAAAATTAAAAAAAAAAAATCGATTTTTATCCACCCCGGTCAAGCTGCTATGTCTTCTCCAATATTATTACCTTCACTAGCTAAATGAAAACTACCTCAGGTCCATGTACCCCTGCTAGGATTACATTTCCATTCCACAATGTAGACATGTAGTACTGGTTTTCAGTCTATTTATACACCACTCGATCAAAAGACTCAACATCAATTCAAAATCTAGTCAGCTTAAAAAATTAAGCTGTAAACTTAACTTTCCTTAACTGTTCTCCTGTTTCCGTCTTATTGCATTTTAAACATAAAAAAAACCTCTCCCATTTTCATCTGTTGCTATATAAAATCTCCAAAGAAAGGAGATGAAACTGCACAACTGGCTATACATAAAATAAAATTTAACATATCTTATCTTTTAATAATAAAAGGAACCTTCAGCATTAATTAGAGCAATAGTATGTAAACACACTGTTTAAAAAGACTAACCCTTAAATTAATACATAATAAATCTTGCAGATTAAATTACAGGAATGTATCCTGCTCTGCCACAAAATTGTTCATTCACCAAGTCCCCTGTTAATACTTCTTTGGCTTTGGGAAATTCTTCCCTACTCCTCCTGAAGTCTGTTCCAAAGATATCTTCCTCCATAACTGAACTGCCTGTATTTCATCACAAAAGATCCCAGACTGATAAACTAGTTGGGAGTCGTCATACTGCCACCAGTAGTAGTAAAGGAAAGATGATCTTCAAAGGTCAAGATTCAGTCTACATGGTGGGAAGGACAGTTAGTGGTAGCAGTCATGTCTACCCCTACCAATAACTAATTTTTGGTTTAAAAAAGTAACCCAAAAATCCACATTTTCCATGATTAAAATGAAACACCACTTATATATACACATCTGTATATAAGCGGTGTTTCATTTTAATAATGGAAATATGTGGATTTTGGGTTACTTTTTTAAACCAAAAATTGTGGATTCTTTATTTATCGGAGAAAACCAGGACCCCTGCCAATAACCATGTTTCTATTAAAGCTCTTCAAAAGAAGCATACCTGGCCCCCAACTTGACCATTCAAGGCCCTGTGCCTCCCAACTGAATATCACCCACCTCTCTCTTAACTGCCAAGTGTCTGTAAAGCATTTGTTTTTCCTCTCTGAAATATGAGGTGGGCTGGAACACTGGTATAATGTGATGGAACCTGGGGACTAAGAGAAGTTCCAGAGAGTAACTTGTCTGCTAGACCATTAACAGTTCTTTACAGAAGAGATGCAGTATAGCAGTGGTCTCCAACCTTTTTGGGTAGGAGATCACTTTTTGAATTAAAAAGCAACCCAAGATCTACCCTGCACAGCCACCACCACAACCTCCTGCCCTTGCAGGTCAGTTTGTGGAGGAGGGAAGAGGGGGACAAATTGAGGCAGAGGGAGAAAAAATTATTTGGGGGTGCAGGTAAGTCTGTGGGGGAAGGGGTGAGGGTCA